CTGTTTTGCTCACCCCTGAGGCATCCTAGGTGTATATGACTTTCTTCTTTCAGACGAATCCAGTCGGAGGTATATTAAAAATTGTCCTGGCTATTCCAAGCTCTATCATTGCAGTCAGCGGGTGTTGCAGTGCTTCAGTCCAAAAGAAGTGAAATAAAAAGTGCCCATACATTTAAAAAAAAAGTGCCTCACACACCTCCGGGGGGTGAACAAAGACCTCCTGTAGCGAATCGATGCATTTTTGTAAGAAAAATAACCATATTTAAAAGATAATAATCAATTTAATCTACCTTGCACTCACTGTTGTAAACAGAAGTAGCTCCGGGCGGATGACGTATGAGGTCGGCGTTGCCTAATATTCATTTTTGGGTGAACTAACCCTTTAATCAGCTTCCACGCACGGATTAACTTGCTTATGTGAACATTTAGTCCACAACAAAGTTTTGCTAACAAAAACAGCAATCTGTAAACTAAATTTTAGTGCAATTCCTGATAGAAGTCTACGCATAAATCTGGAGCGCAGTAATGCCTCATGTCTATTTGTAAGTTTCTGACTGAACTTTGTGTTGGATGGAGGATTGAGCTAATTTGGAATTGATTTAATCACAAAATATTGAAAACCTCCTGCCTGCTGAAGACGTATTTGTGCACAATGAAAATTAATGTTTTGAAAGTTTCCAAAGAAGCAGAATTTTCATCTGGTTTCCAAGTCTACACATGCTTTTAGTGAACTCTTTTGTGAAAGTTTCGATCTTAGGAATGCTGTGGGTTATCAATGAAATGTTATACTTTTATCATAGGAGATTTTATCACCATTGTATGGAAGCCTGTTTCCACCATGGAATAAAAAAAAAGGTTACAACTTTTCTCACAATTTTTCCCTCAGAACTGCAAGATATAAACTCAGAATTGTGAGACAAAATGTTGTAATTAACTTTTATTTTTTTATTCCATGGTCAAAAAAGAAAAGAAAAAACAAAATCGCAAGATGTAAGCTCAGAATTCTGAGGGGAAAAGTCCAAATTGTGAGACATAAACTCAAAATTGCAAGGAAAAAGTCAGAATTTTGAGTGTATATCTCGCAATTCTGAGAAACAAAGTCCAGAAAGTAATTCGTCCTGTAATTTTTTCATTATGTGGTGGAAACAGGCATCCATACCATTGCCTTTTTCAATCTAAAGTTTAAATAATGCAGTAGCTCTAAAATAGATAGGTGCATTATGAGATATATTAAATTCAATACGATACCAAAGAGCAATGCAAATGACACATTTAGCTCTTTTTACCCCACAAAAATGATTTTTGTATTGTGTCTGTCATATCTATGTAACTGTGAGAGATCCTGAGTCTGATGATCAGATTTTGTTATATCGCTTCTCATATCTTACAAAGATACAGCATTTACATACCAAGCCATCAGTAGCTCTGATAGATCTCTATGCTTGAATAGTTTATGAAAGGTTAAATGCGTCATAAACAGTGGCATCATGCACCTGATTTTTGAGGAGGTGTTATTATCAATTCTGGCTTACTGGACAAGCTAATGTCGCTCAAAATAAACTCCTGTACTTCTTTCTAACTATTTCGTGTAACTATTTTAACTTTGAAAGCTGAGGTCTCTTAAGTTGTATCTAAAGAGTTTTATCTTCATCCTCCACAATGCGAATGTGGAATATATGACAGGTAAATACACACATAAGTACATTTTACTGTAAAAATGTTATATTGCTACTCATATCTTACAAAGATACAAAGTTCTCGTACACTACCAAGCCATCAGCAGCTCTGAAAAAACTCTGAAAACTACTATATATACTGTGCGATCTCTATGTCTTAAACAGTTGATGAATTCAAAATGCATCAAAACATCTGTAATAAACTGTGTCATCAGTGTCAATTCTGGATTACTAGACAAGATAAAACCCCCTAAAATAAAATACTTTACTTTTTAGCTATTTCATGAAGCAGAACTTTCTATTTGAAACAAATGATTATGATTGGACTGACCAATTTTACACAAGCAAATAAATGATTTACTTCAAGGCATTTTAGAGCTTTTTTAAACAAATATGTACATTTATTTTCACAAATGCATAACATTTTTCAGAAGCTGCATTTAAAATTGTCTGATTGCACATGACATGATGCTTTTAATTGTAAAATCCCATTTTTTTTTACATTTTAAACAGTTTTTAGGTGATAAGTATTTTTCTATCAAATAATTTATAGTATTTATTACCTATAAAAGTGACATTGTAATTTTAACCTCTGCACATATGACTTAAAAAAAAAATATTATATTATATTATATTATACTCTGTATTTTTAAAGTAATATGGTGATATTTAATGCATTTTCAAATAGCAGGCATGGTTTTAGTGTTTGCAAATGAACTGAATGCATCTGTAAGGTGAGGCCTTTATCTTAAAGATTTTTATCATCATAATGCACAAATGTGGAATAAATAATAAAAAAAATAACAGTATAACTACATGATCTATTTTAACAATGTTTTCTCAGCCTGCTGGCTTATTTGCCCTGTATGTTTTTGCAAGTTTGGTAAAAATTGTACAGTGCATACATAAAATCCAGAAGTATCTATCTAGATAACATTCCTATCGTCGTGTGAATGCTACACCTAATTTGCCACAAATACCTGCCTTGCCCACCTCGTTCCACAGAGTAGAATGGAAAGAATCCGGACAGAAAGACTTACTCTTAATAATGAGGCACTTGATCAAAGCAAGCAAATTTGTACCAGATGCAACAATCTCTTTTAAAAACAGTTTGAGACAAAACTTTTGACCAGACTTTTTTTTTTGACCAATCTCATTTACAGCTTGATCATCGAGCCTTCCTGTTCACCTCTGCATTGTCGCGTGCAAAAGCGCACAGTGAGAAAACAGCTTCTGCCAGTCATCTCTCATATCATGATGGTGCCCTCATTCTCCATTCATGGGAATGAACTTTTATTTATAACCACAGGTCCACTGACACAAATTCATCTAGTGCACAACAATGTTTGCATGTGCATGACGGCCATCTGTCAGGAGCGTTTGATATCTGTTCACACTTTTTTCCATTTAGTTTTTGACTTCACCAAGTGACAACAACCTCATCAAATAGAGCATTTGCTGACAGCTTGATGCTTTTGTTATGGAGTCATGTTTAAAACGGCATGAATAGAATAGAGAAAATCTTTTTATGGCAGTATATGTGACAGGCCATAAAAAGAGCAACTTATAAATTTGATGAAACACCTGAAGGAGCCCTTATTATGACAAAATTGCAAAAATGAAAGGAATTGGTTATTTCACAATGAGACAGATACTATTTTCTTCCTTAATGGGAAACCGATTTTTCATCTGGAAACCAGCAGTTTACTTTCAACTCGCCAAAACAAACAACAAGACTGATGTAATCTTTCCTTCAATCTGATAATGACACCTGCCTTGCAATAACACGACAAGCCTTTTCAGCAGATCTCGCCCTCCAGAATGCTTCCTTCCACAGAATGGATGTTGAAAGGCACTTCCAAACTCAGTTACACCCACCCACCCATTAAGCTGAACAACTATGAGCACTATATGGCAGCCTGTATATCATGTGAGTGATTTCAAGCAAAATTTGTTGCAAAAAAAAAAAAAAATCATTTTAAATGAGATTACAATTTGTTTTCATCTATGATCAAATGTCTCAAATCTAATCTAATAATCACTTGTAGGAGTAAAAATTATGTGGGATTATATAATAGGATTTATGTGGAAACATGGACGCACTGTTAGGCGTTCATGTGGATAAAATGTGGGTAAAATACATTTTCTGAAGTATTCCTCACATTAAATATGTGAATAAAAAGCCTATTCTTCTCACACAAAAAAAGTTGCAATAAAGTAAATCCTATCTAATTCATTTACATATTTTAAATTACAATGAATGCAGTTTGTTTGGAGGATTTTGATGGTATTTTAACAGCCTGTTTGAATAAGCCTGTGTGCACTGTTCAGGTGGAGAGTTTTCATTAGATTCATATGTTCAAAAGATTCTGCTAGGAAAATGCTGAAATATGGAAAAAAAAATCATCCCAAGCTCCTGAAATTAAAAAAGAAAACTAATTTTGATTCAGTATGTTCATTTGCATTAACTGTTGTTTTACTTTTGGAAGTAAAGTTGATCAATTAATCAAGAAAAAACAGAGAATGAAACTAAAGGCTGAGATCTACGCAATCTGCAATAAAAGTATGGTGTTCCCTTCATACTTTTATTAATTACATTATGCAGATCTCTTTTTTTTTACCTTATCACCCAATCTTTTAATCATTTTAGAGATTTCTGCATCTTGTGAGGTCCAAAAATCTGAAACCACTCGTGAAATATCAACATATTCAGCATTTTTCTAATCTAATACACATTTCTTTCATCATAATCTGCCTATACCAATTTGAGTGAAAATTGCTTTCAGAGTAATACAAAACTATTTCAAAGTTTCAATGTATATTTAATGTAGCCTCTGACTTTTGGACTGGGAAAACACTTCATTTGCACTAACAATCGCCACTGCATTATATATGTAATAACCACAGATCCTAGTTAAAGCAGGAGGCTTTCATACATACATTTTCATATTTCACTATACCATCGTAATAACATTTACGCATGACTCATTAATGAAACCTACTGTGAAATGTTTGCCTACAAACAATCATCAGCACTTGTTGAGGTAAAGTACATCAGAAATGACTCACCGACTCATTCAGTGTATAGCCTATTAAATGTAGCCTCAAACTTTTAGACTGGGTAAATTTCATTTGCATTAACAATCGTCACTGCATTATATAGGTAATAACCACAGATCCTAATAAAAGCAGGAGACTTTGATTCATAAATTTCCATATCATCCAAATCATAATACCATTTATGATTCATTAATGAAAACTATTATGAAATGTTTGCCTCAGGCTGCACTTGTTAAGAGGTAAAGCGCATCAGAAATGACTCACCGACACATTCGTTGGCCTCTCTGGCCGTCGCGCGCTGCCACGGCCGGTCGTAGTGGAACGGCTTACACCTGTCACACTCCGGTCCCGCCGTGTTGTGCTTGCACTCGCACACTAGGTTCTCTTCGCGGTCCTTTACGCACTTTGACGCGTGCCCGTTACACTTGCACCGACCGCCGACCTGCAGGTCAGACACGGCGTAAAAATACGAGTCCCTGGCGAGCTCCGAGTCATCCTCGTTCTCGTCCCCGAACGTGTGCAGCCGGTTGAAGGTCACTTTGATATCGGTGGCCGTGACCCAGTCCTGCAGGACGGGAGAGTTGTCAAAGTCGTGCGCGGAGGGTCTGCCGTCCAGCGTGCTGAACGCGATGAGGCCGCCCGTTAACGGCTGCATGTCCGTGTGCGAGTCCGTGCAGATCGCTTCCTGCTCGTTCTGCTTGGTGATCGCAGCTTTGCTCGGTTTGTTGTACATTTTCTTGCACTGGGTTGAGTAGAATTGAAAGGGCACCCAGGTTTTTCCGTAATCCATGGATTTGAAGATGGCCATAGATTCAGGGCGAGGAGAGCAGAACTGGAGGCTCACGTAAGTCACCTCGAACTTCTTCCCCAAGGACAGCGTCAAAGTCACATTTTGCGGATATTGCACGTAGTTCTCCGACTGCCAGCAGGTGAGGTTGTGAGGGTTGTTGAGGTCTGTCAGGTACGCAGGGGGATGCGACTTCTTGGGGTCCGTGGCGTCGCAGATGTTGCAGTCCCTCGATCTATCCTCGCCCTTCTCGGTCACCACGCAGTACCGCGACGCCGGAGCGCCGCAGGTGCTGGATACGCGCACGTCCTTTCCAAACGCGGAGTTCACAAAGTCGGGGATGCAGCGTCTGGGGTTGCCGTTCTCGTCGTAACACGGGTCCGGAGGAGAGGATTGAGCCGCAAACATACTCATTCCGTATCCACCGCGAGCACCGGCCACCATCCCGATGATGGACACCGTGGAGACGCACGCTACCAAAATCCTTATCATTGCAACCCGGGGTCCTCAGTGTCCCTGAAACAGCACTGAACAAATAAAGAAACTTTTGCATTTAAAAAAAGACCGAAATGCATGTATTTAGAATAATTTAGCTTGGAGTTTCCAATAGATATGCTATGTGTGAAAGATTTGTGCGTAATTATAGGCGACTTTTTTTTTAAGATAAATCCACAAAGTGCACTATACCTCTTTGCTCGGGTGGAGAAGTATGGCAAACCCTTCTAAAAAACCAAATTATAGGGTACTCTCCCTTTCTTTTCTCTCTACCGGATATGTTGTAATCTCTTTTCCCACTTTCAATCGATATGAAACAGAAAACCTGCTATTACTTTCCAAGGCTCCCTTTCTTCCTCCGCCTAACTCATTCACACCTCTGCCTCTCTGTGACTGGGTGTCGCAGCTCAGCCCTTCTCTCTTTCTGCTGCTCTGCCTGAATTCAATAGGGGGTTCAGTCGTTTACCATTCTCTCTGTGCGTCTGCATGAGTAAAGCACTTTATTGCCCATGTGTGCAAGAAGCACAATGGAATTCTAATGTACGTTTATCTATAGTTGCATTGCGAGCTATTCTTAATTATAGGGGAACTTTTGACTATCTGGAAAAGTAAAACTTCGTTATAAATAGGCTACAAATCGAATATTGATCTATATGTGTATATAGGTTTTGCATTATTTTAACATTTTAATTAAAACTAAATATATTGGGTTTTTTTATATAAATTAAATTAATTAAAATATGGTATAGGACAGAAAAAAATAACTAATCACTATAACAAAAAACTAATCACTAAATCACTATTATTTTAAAACAGCAGACAATATAAGCCTACAGTACAACATAATAAAGCAATACAAAAAAATAAATGAATTAATAAATAAATAAAGGTCTGGATGGATAGACAGACACACAGATTGGCATGCAAATTGCAAGTTTGCATTTGCACTATAGCATAGCTGTACATTGCGTTTTGAGTTATAAACCCAAACCTCTTTCATTGGATGTGGCGTTTAATCTGTGAAAACGTAAATAAATAGCATATGCACATCATAAATGTGCATTAAAATCCAGACGCAGTTCTGATTACGCAAATCCACTATTGGCCACCCACCGTGTCCCATACTCACTTGCTGATTCACCGTTCCTCACAATAAAGAAACAGCGACGCCGTGTGGTAGAAAGGAGAATAGTCTGACCAGCAGTGACTGACCTGACTGAGCTCTCTCTTAACTTACTCTTATATTTGAAAGATGTTCTGGATCAGTGCAGGCACGAGAATTGAGTAGGCATATAAATTACCCAATAGCTGACTTTCCAATAGTGTGGCATTTAATATTTGGCAAGTTCCCAATTGGCTATTTTATAAGATTCTATGAAGCAGGAAATTTCACAACCTTTTTTTGTAATTTTTTTTTTTAATGATGTTCAAAGGTGTGTGTATTTTTTTGCTCCAAAGTTTTAGGTTTCAAGCTAATACTGCTAATACTATAGTGTATTTCAGACTTTCATGATAGGCCGTATGAACACATAGTAAATTGATATTCTACTAAAGCAATAAGCTTGTTAGAAAAATAACAAAAAAATTTAGCAGGCAACCGTGTTTACAAGGGAATTTGTGATGCTTCAATAGAAGATGAAGAGAAGTAAAACTTAAGCAGGAAACAATCATTAGTGTTTGTATTCTGTTGTTGTGTGTTGAATCAGCGGAAGTGCAGGTTAAGTGAAAGCCACAGTAGCAGAACAGTCATGCCGCTTTAAAAGAGCAACAAATTCATAAGTAGGGCCCATTCATTTTCTAAAATGACTAAATTAGATCACACATGTTTTTTTGTTTCTTGGCAGTAGATGAATGTTATATTCTTATCCTGCGTGTCAGCTTTTCTCACCACTGTCCTTGGTGCTGAAGTCATGGACAAACTGGAATAATGTCATTATCACAGGTCTCAGACAAAAGGCAGGTTTGTAACTTTTGGTAGATTAAAGTCTTTAATGGTGACCAAATTTTGGCCTGAGGTCTGATCTTTTTTTTTTTTAAGTATCCTTTTATATTTCAGTTTATTCAATAATTCAGCTTATTCTGAAATGTTTACAAATATATTTTTATTCGAAAGTTCACCCAAAAACGAAAATTTGATGAAAATGTACTCACCCTCAGGCCATCCAAGATGAATTTGTTTTTTCATCAGAGCAGATTTGGAGAAATTTGGAATTACATCACTTGCTCACCAATGGATCGTCTGCAGTGAATGGGTGCCGTCAGAATGAGAGTCCAAACAGCTTATAAAAACATCATAATAATCAATAAATAATACACATGACTCCAGTCCATCAATTAACATCTTATGATGGATTTGTTTCTTACAAACTTGCAGCTTTTCACTTTACAAGACATTAATTGATGGACTGGAGTGGTGTGGATTATTGTGATGTTTTTATCAGCTGTTTGGACTCTCATTCTGACGGCACCCATTCACTGCAGAGGATCCACTAGTGAGCAAGTGATGTAATGCTAAATTTGTCTCAAATACTAAGAGTGAGGTTTCCTCAAACTGTGGCTGCAACACATCATTACACAGACTCTATTTTAGCACTGACGTGTTGTGGGTTGCTTCCCACTTGCGTGGTACAAGAATACTTCAAAGTTTTCCATCAGTGTTGGGTTTTATTCGATTCACGTAGGCACAATGGATTTTTATGAAGACTGACCAGTGATGACTCACACATGTGAAATGCACAAATACAGAACTTAGGTCAATTTAGAACCACTAAAACAGGAAATGCATGTGCATGTCAGTGTTCAAGTTACTCATGTCCTCTTTGTCATCAGCAAAGGTTAATGTCACAGATTAACTTATTTTACCGCTTTGGTGGTAATGTCATTACCACCAATTACGTCCCGCATGAATCTAGGGGTATAAGTGGACGCAACAAAACAACAAATAATTTAAAGAGTGCTAGTCTGTCGTGTCACAGCACCACAAGCAACAAACTACCATAAAGGTTTTTATTTGACAGCTCATGGAACAAATACAAAAGGTACATTAAAAATAAGAAAAAAATAAAAATAAATAAAAATAAATAAAAGGGAAGCAATAATTTCAGGAGAGGGCAAGGCCAAAATAACAAACAAAACAAACTAGACCATTTAAGCCTCTAACTAATCTAACAAAGAAAAGAAAAATAACAACAGGTGTGTATCCTAACTCCCTTCCTGGCCCCAAAAACAGGAGAAAACAGGATTCAACAAAAATGGCACCCACCTCCCTACAACTTCCAAATAAACCAAACAATATTAAACAAATTTGTAAACAACAGCAACAGGCTGGGCAGGACGAAGACAGCACTCTGGAGAAAGCTCTTGGGGGAACATTTTCTCAAACTTTGGTAGTTGCTGCTGTGCTTTTATGCTGGCTCACTCTGCAGCTGGGGGCAATCCGCTACCTGCCAGACAGATTGAGTAGGAGGAGCCAAAGGGTTAACAGAGGGGGAAAAAAGACACATTAAAGAAAACACAGCTTTTCTGATAAATCATAACAATAAAGACTACGTCTCCAGACGTAACACCCCCACCCGTAGTTACAAACTACGTCTGTAGTTAGTCATTTTAGTGGGTTTTTTTTTTGTGCATGTAAAAATATGGTACAGTAGATTGTCATTAGTCAAGCTCCTTATCTCCTTATCTTCTCATTTTGGGGTGAAATGAGAATAAGACACAGTCATGGCATAAAAGCCACGTGTGAGGTGTTCTCAGTGTTGTGGTATATGAATAGGAAGTAAACTGTTTCCTCACATACAACAAGAGCTGTGTGCAGACATACAAAAAAAAAGAAAAAAAAACATTTTATGTGCATCTGACTGAGGTATGAGGGTTGCAGAGTCTGTAATCTTAGAAAGCAACTATGGTTTTACTGGTTTGCTAAAAAGAAGGAGAAAAAATATTTATTTATTTATTTCCTTGCTTACTTTTCGGAACATACATCACTTCTCAAAATGTAATCATTCGATCAAGCGATTTCAAAGACGTCATTCACTGGCTTTGCTGATTGTACTGGGAAGTGCTCCAGTAACGCGATGTGACGCAGGTCGCGTGGGCGGGACTTCATGTGCGCCGCGCTCCTCTGTCATCTGTAAAGTGGGAATGAAGTGAAGCGGATTTGCATCAGACAAACAAAGGTAAACTGATTTAAAGTGTTCTGTGAACGTTCAGAGCGTGTTTTAGTCAATCTCATGGCACAAAAATCTGCCTCCAACAAATGTATTCTTATGTGTTAGTAAAATTATGGCGATGCAAATGTATTATTTACAAATTGTTTACCTCAGTCAAGGTGCTTTACATTGTGTCACCATAATGGATCTAAAAGATTTGTTAGTTGACCATTTTAATATAGTCATTCAAAATGGATGCTGTTATATTAATTTAAACGTGAAATATAAAAGATATAATAATATTTTTTATATTCACAATATTTATGTTAAATATATTTATTAAAGTAAAAAATCATTGCTCACAATCATTTTTGAAGCACTCGTTCAGAGGAGTGAAGTATGAATTAAACATGAGTTCAAAAAGGAGTTTAGAATACAGAAATGTATTTAAAATTTATATTTTAAAAAAGCTACATTTAACAGCTTTTGAACAATATTGGACCAAGTTTACATACCTTAAAAATAGACATCATGTACATCAAGCTGGTTTTAGCTGGTCGTCCAGTTTGGTCATAGCTGGTTTTAGAGGGGTTTTGACCACTTCTTTAGCTGGTCAGTCTGGTCTTAGCTCGTCAGGCTCGAAAGTCCAACCAGTTAAAACCAGCTTGGCCAGGCTTAGAAACCAGAAACAAGCCAAAATCAGCCAACCAGCTTAGGCTGGTTTTATCTGTTGTTGTTGTTGTTGTTGTTGTTTGTTTGTTTTTAGGGAGGTTTTATCTATTGTCATTAATAAGTAAAGGTCACATTTTTAAATATTACGTGACTGAAACCCGTTAGGTTCAGATGTTTGAAATCGACCCTTTTGGGTAATTATTTTACCCGTCATTGCCATTGTTTCTGTAAGTATTTAATTGGTCAGTGAAGTGAAACCAGAATGACCACATCCTTTTTTGATGAATGTCTGAATACATTGAAGATTTCTTTATTCATTCATTTATTAATTCATTCATTCATTTTTCCTAAAACTCTTTATTAGGGGTCGTGTGCGTTGTTGGCCCTGTAAATTATCTGTATTGTTCAAGTATGTTATCATATAGTC